CTTTTGGACTAATGTGAAGAAGTTGGCCGCCCTGATGAAGGGCCCCTATGACGTGTTGCGAGAGGTGGATAAGGATGTCCACTGCCTCTCACGCATCTATGACATGGCCTGCCAGTTGCCGGTCTTCKTTCGTGCAGCCCGCCTCACGGATGAGGAGCGAGACATCATCTTGACGGCGKTGGCGAAYAGGACTGACATGCTGCTCAGCCCCATTCATGTTGTGGCCCGGTTGCTTGATCCTGTCTTGAGGGACATTGCCGTTTTCAGCAATGTGGAGCTCATGACGCAGTTTGAGAGCGTTGTCGATCGACTCATCGGGAAGAGGGGGAGCAAGAAGTTCACCGACTGTATGGACCAGTTGTATGACTTCCAGTTCGGGAACGGGGTGTTTGGCTCCGAGCGGGCAGTGCAGAGGGCCTCGAAGGACAACGCAGTGTTGTGGTGGGAGGCGCATGGGGCAGGGCATCCAGAGATCAAGGCCTTGGCAATCAAGGTGCTCTCGATATGGACGACTTTCTCTCCGGATGAGAGGAATTGGAGCACTTGGGCTTTGGTGCAAACGAAGTCAAGTAACAAATTGCATCATCAGCGCACTGAGAAACTGGTGTACTCGCACTAGAGCCTCAGGCTCAAGAGCCGGGGGGGTGATGGCCCCACTGTGGCTGGAGGGTGGTTGGGATTGGCAGTTGATTGGCCTGACGAGGATTTGGAGGGTGATCAGGCGGGCGTGACGGACGCCGTCGATGACGGTGAGGTTGCAGATGACGGTACTCGTTCGGCTGCAGGCAGCACCAGCATTCGTCGTGATCCCTTTATGCCTGGGACTTCGGCATCTGCGGAGAGGTTAGGGGAGGTGGGGGAGGGTGTGRGTACGGAGGAGGTAGATGTTGACGAGGAGGAGGAGGATTTCGATGACGAGGATGGCATTCCAGGAGAAGAGTGGGAGGATGAGAGGTCTGACTCGGATAGATCGTGGACGAGGAGGGAGGAGATCACRCCATACATCCCGGGCACACGATCTGGATTGACGTCGCAAAGTCCACGACAGGAGGAAGAGCCGCGTCGACATCACGATGAGGATCAGGCGGATGAGGAGCAGCGGGGAGGGGATGAGGAGGAGGAGGAGGAGCATCAGGGTGGGGACGAGGAGGAGGTCGAGGAGCAGCGGGGCGGGGATGAGCATGAGGAGGCACAGGGGGAGGCTGGCCAGCAGGTGCATGAGGAGCACGAGGCGGAGGCCCRCGCGGACGACACTCGCAGAGATGAGCAGCTGCACACTCCGTTGGAGGGTCACGCAAATGGGGAGCAAGAGGGTCAGGCAGCGGGTGAGCGGGCCAGCCAAGTGGTGCGCTCATTTTATGATCCCGGTCGACCGTCACACCTAACCGGCCGCTTTGGAGCACATCCCGGGTGCGTGTGGGATTCGCTCGCCTATCGTGCTGTGCGAGGCAGAGGGCGACCACCTTCCAAACGTGGCAGAGGGAGGTCTGATGTCGGAGGCCACTCCCATGGGGCTCCGCAAGGTAGAGGGCGAGGCAGAGGGCGGCCACGGAAGGAGAGACAGCCATCTCCAGATCCTGCGCCAGAGGGGTCAGAGGATGACTCTCATGAGAGTGCACCTCTGCATAAGCCAAAGAAAAGGAGGACAGAGCCTGTTCAGGACAGGGAAACACAAAGAGAGAGAGAGAGAGAGAGAGAGAGAGAGAGAGAGAGAGAGAGAGACAGAGAGAGTGAGAGAGAGAGAGAGACGGATGAACTCATTGTTTCTCTTTTGTCAAAGAATTGGGCCCTCCTCCTCCTAATCAACTGTCTGCAGACTCTGCATCTAGTCTTTACTCGCGAACAGTAGCGAGAGTGTGTGTGTTGAGGTTGTCAGTGCGTATCTGTGTGTGTGTGTGTGTGTGTGTGTGTGTGAGTGTGTGTGTGTGTGTGTGTGTGTGTATCTATGTGTGTGTGTGTGTGTGTATCTATGTGTGTGTGTGTGTGTGTGTATCTATGTGTGTGTGTGTGTGTGTGTGTGTGCGTGCGTGTGTGTGTGCGTGCGTGTGTGTGTGTATGTGCGGCTGTGTACGTGTGCCATTTTTTTATTTTTATTTTTTTGTGCTGTCGTACCAGCCGCAGTTGGCAATGGCAGCCGTCATGACTGCTGCAATCGCTCTGCATGGGCTGGGGTCAGCATCTGCCATGTCAGCAGCTGCCACATCAGCAGCCACCACATCAGCAGACACCACGTCAACAGCTGCCACATCAGCAGCTGGGACGCCAGCTGCTGATGGGGCARCTGCTGACGTGGGATCAGTTGTCGTGCCAGCTGCTGATGTGGCAGCTGCTGACACGGCATAACCGAACAACAAGACATCAGCAGCTGGCACTTCAGCTGCTGATGCGGCAGCAGCTGCCACATCAGCAGTTGTCATGTCAGCAGCTGCCACATCAGCAGTTGCCATGTCAGCAGATGCCATGCCAGCAGCCGCCACATCAGCAGCTGGCACTTCAGCTGCTGATGTGGCATCTGCTGACCTGGCAGCTGCTGACGTCGCAGCTGCTAACATGGCAGCTCCTGACGTGGCTGCTACTCATGCATAACTGAACAACAAGACAGACAGCAAGACAGACAGACAGACAGACAGACAGACAGACAGACAGACAGACAGATAGACAGACAGACAGACAGACCGACAGACAAACACACAGACAGGCAGAACGACAGACATACAAATAGACAGACAGCAAGACAGACAGACAGACAGACAGA